ACAGGGAGGGAAGGGATCTTAAAACTAAATACCATAGACCTAAAACGAGGATGGAAAGCAACGGCGAACGTATAAGATGCGAAATATTCGCGAAGCTCTTGCAGAGTGCTGCCGAGTCGCTGGACGCGAAGGAATTTCTAAAAAAACGGCTTCAAAAAGACGGGGCTTCACCCTTTTTCAGCATACGGCATTAATTATCACAAATAATTTAAAAATACGGCAGAATCTGAGCCGCTTCCTTAAGCTGCGCTAAACGATAGCGCTCAAAATACGGTACTCCTAGCACTGTTCAAAGGAGCTTTTGCAAAGGTTCCAAGACGTTGAAGAAGAGGCGGAATGTAATGGTAAAACGAGACTCGAAGGTCTGTTTTACTTCTGGCGGCAGATTAAGAGAAGTATCAACTCTGGCGTAGAGAATCATGGCATCGCGAGAAACAGTGTTGTCAACGGAATAAGCATAGTCGACGAAAATGCAGTTTCGATATTTAGACACGATACTTTTGATCGAGAATAGAACCCGCGCTTTCTACGTAGGTATCCGTCGAGTACATTACTACTTGAGCCATCTCGTCCCTGGAAAGATGTAAACGTCAGGATCGTTATACCCTACATACATTTCTTTAAAGCCTTTTTTTTCTCAAGAATGACTGAAAACCGCGTCCCATTATTTTAACATGTTACTCGTTTAGAGATGATCTATAACTGTGAGGAGTATTTCAAAGTCGGCATTAACGTACGCTCCGCGAGTATAAAAGCCGAGCGAAATGGCGATAAGATATTCATTCGATCATTACACCTCCTACGGTAAAGCTCGAGACAGAAAAGTTCAGGATTTGAAAGTAATTAAGTAAAGGAGTTCTAATCCTCCCTGAATAGTCTGAACGGGTTCGTTGGAGTCATAGCGCCTCAAACAATACCTACCAGCTAAAGCGGGGACGAGAGGAATAAAAAGGGTTACGGGCATTGGAAAAACCACCCGACCACCTTGCCTCTCAAGTCTCCTATACCAATTTACCAACAGATACCTCGTCAGCGGGTGGATAGCACCACCGACAGCTGTACAAGGTTTCCTAATCCAAAGAACCACTGAATCACGAGACGACATTGCCGGAAAACATTGCGTTGCCACGCCATACTGAATCTCTTCCTAAAAAAGTGTGATTGGTGACCAATATAGCATTGCGAACCATATCTCATCCAAATACCAGATGACTGTGTGACATTGGCGGATAGCATTACGCTGGCTTAGCCATATGCCCCACAGGAATCATACCTAATACCTATTGAAACGATTCTCGGTAAATCATATAGCGCGGCAAGCTATAGGATCGGTTTAATAAATTCATGATCCACTCTTCCACGAGAGATAAGGATAAAAGATAAAATTGAAGT